CCTAGGTCTTGCACAGGCCCTCTGTGCTGAGGTGAATCTCGCCCACAGGGTGAGTCTGAGAGAGCTGGACTTCTAGCCCGTGACCCAGGTTTCCCACATTGTGCTCAAGACAACAGCTCCTGCTAGCTGGTCCAGGAGCTCCAACCCCAGGCTGTTCTTGAGCCACTCTCTGTACTGGGACTTTATCTGCAAGCAGAAGCCTGGTGGGAGGAGGCAAAAGGACAGGGGAAGGCAAGGACCAGGCACAAAGTGGCTTGTTGGTGCCAAGGTCCATGTTCTTGCTTCGGGTGTGTAGTGGGGAGTTTACAGTCCTTGCTAGGTATTTATGTGGGTTGTGATAAGTGGTGTCTTTTCAACGTCTGAGGTCAGGGCTCGTGCCTGGCAGACAAACCCCTCTCAGTGGGACACATGAAGGTGGTGCAGGAATAGGTTTGGAGGGGAAGGTAACCAGCCTATCACATGTAGATTGGCTCCAAAATACGTGCTTTTCTAATCGCTGCTATTTGAACATCTCATCAAACAGAAAATATGTGTCTAAGGATAATGATCCTATAAAAGTGGAATTTCCCCAAGGAACCAAGAAATATTGGGCCAGTGGAGTCAGCAGAGTTACACTTTGGCCCGTGATGTGGTTTTATTTCAATCTACCTTGTGCTACTCTAGATATGTACAATGGGGATACGAGGACTACGGGCTTAGGAACTGAAAATAAATGAACACGATCCAGTTAGCAGAAACGCCTCTGAAAGCAAGTCTTTCTCATTGCCCCCTAACATTGCAAACACATTAAAGTAAGAAATATAAATCATGACAATCAATCATTCTAGATTCTGGCTTCCTCTCCTCTTTATGTGGTGGCATAATGACTTTTCCACCAGTTTATGGTAAGATAATTGAAACAAAATGGAAAATAGTTTCATACTTGTCATAAAATTTGCTGCTGGTGAAATAAAGTAATTTTAACTCTTTATAGCTGAGATCCCATCTGGTGCAATTATTAATTATGAAAATATTTCACTAAAAACACTAAAGGCTAGATCTGAATAATGAAAAGAAAAAAGTCAGCATGAATATTCTGTAGTGTAAAAAATGTTTAGCACAATATTCTATTGATTTTTAGAGTGAGCAGTTAGCAGTATTGATAGGTGTAATATTGTAGAAAGATTGATCTCACTGTGTAGAATTGACACTCTAAAATACTGGATCAGTGAATATTTACTTACTTTTTTAGGTGACGGGTTCCAGAAATATTTGACACCAAAAAATATCAGAATAAGAAAAATCACCAGTACGCAGAAGAGCAATCCACAGATCTTGTATCTTTTGCAGATCTTCTTTCTTGTCTTAGATGCTTCTGCCTAATTAATTACAAAACAGCAATATCCAGTGGTCTGCTTATCATTCCAAGGAGTGCTGAATACACATATATATCAGACAGCTATTATGTTTTAGGTAATAAATATTACATGGGAAATTCTGCAATGGTAAAGAAAATCATTAACTTACATCTAAAAAGTGACAGAACTTGGGGCTCTCCTGAGAATTCTTTTCCATGGTCTCTAAGTAAAATTTCCTTCTCTCTGTGTGTGTAGAGAGGTCGGAGAAACCACTGCTGAGGTGGAGTTACAAATGATCAGGACTGAACATGCCAGTGAGGAGAAACTCTGTACTACAATGATTCCAATATGTCATGCTGAAGCCTGCCTTATCACGGGAGTCTATAATGCACCAGTCAAAGTGTGTATATGTGCGTGGGTGCCTATTGCATCCGTGCTGGCGTTGAGGTGTATGGGGGGCAAGCGATTGCCCTGTGGGTTGGAAAAGTGACTGAGGGCGACCTGTTATACAACAGCTTTCACTCTACACCTACAGTGGCAGTGAATAAGCATTTTATACGCTTACTAAAACTGGACAGCAGAAGAGTTCTGCCCTATCTCCCCCACACCCTTGCATTCTCTGTCTTTCCCCCTTTGTCTCACCTTTCCAGCTGTGCCTCACATCAGCTTTTTCAGTAAATCTAATGTTGCCTCCCCCGCGCCCCCCCCCCTTCTAACTCTCTCCCTCCTGACACCTGGGTCTTCTGTGAGCAGCTTAACTAGACCAGTCAGGGCCAGCCTGTAGGGCTCTAGATCTGAGCCGGCGGTGAGGCACCGTAGCCCTTGCTAGCTGTGTGTGTGTTTATGAAGGGCTCTTCAGAAGCAGCCCCTTGGTCCTTTGCTGGGGCTGTGAAGCTGGGAGATGAAATGGGGTTGCCCTCGCTGATGTCTGGCTGCTGGTTGCTTTGGAGCCCCTCAGTGGAATGACTACAGTGCCTAGGACACTAGAGTAGCGCTCTGCCCCTCCTGGATCCTTCGTCTGGAAGCACTAGGTCAAATTCAACTCTGGTGTAAATGAGCGGAGCTCCATTGACTTTAAGGGGCACCTGCTTAGACCAGGCACTGAATGCTGAACTGCAATGCAAACATGAAAATGGAGTTAAGCCTGGCAAAATTCACCAACGCCCCACTCCCCCCAAGTCCCCAGGCTTTGGGGCATTCAGTAGAGAAACAAAGTTTAACTAACTTTTTATGAAGTCTTATCTTCCTCTGTGAAATCTTCTTGGCACGTCCTGGTTTCCAGAAGATGGCTCAGCATGTGACCTCACGTACCGCAGCAGAGTTATTGAATCCACGCTCAGTGTGATCTCACAGCAGGATGCATTCTGGGATATCATCAGTGAAGCAGGAGGTGCCAAGACGCTTCCACAGGGAAGGAATAATTTAAAAAAGTTTATTAAAACACGTGTCCGCTGTGCCTTTAACTCATTGTAGCATTGTTGTCACCTTTCCGCCTGTGCAAGGGGTATGAGTGGCTATGCAGAGGCTCGAAAGAGATCCGTAGTGGAGACCACACCAGAGCTCCTGCAGTGTCTTCCTTTATTCAGAAGCTACTTTGCAATTTTCTGGTGTAAACGTCCGAGTACAAAGCACTCAAGGCACAAACTAGTCTTACATATACTACAATACATACATAGTCTTCAGCAGGGAGGGAGCACAGGACTTTCAACCCCAAATACAGGCGTATCTGTCACTGGCACTGTAGGAAATTCTTTTAGCTATGAGTAAGGCTAAGATTTTGTCACGGTTATTTTTAGTAAAAGTCAAGGACAGGTCACGGGCAACAAACAAAAATTCACGGAACCCATGACTTTTACTAAAAATAACCGTTCAAGCCGCGGCAGCAGCACATGGCCCCAGCTGCGGCTCCCACTGTCGGGCAAGGGCGCGTGGCCCCGGCGGAAGCTGCGGGGCAAGGGCGCATGGCTAGCTGCAGCTCCCACCGCAGGGCTATGTGGGGAGCATAACTCCAGTTCCCAACCCAGCCATGACTCCAGCTACTGAAAGCTGAAGCTGAAGAAGTCACAGAGGTCTGGTAAAGTCACAGAATCCGTGACTTCCGTGACTGCTGTGAACTCTGTGACTAAATCGTAGCCTTAGCTATGAGTAGGCAGTGGGCTATTCTAGTTCCTGGCATTGGCCACTAGGTGGAGACATGCTTGTTACAGAACTGGGACAAAGGTCAATTAATGTTACTTTGACTTTAGTTCCCCCATTATTCTGGATAGGACAGTGCCCCGGTGGGTGAACCGCTACTGCTCATGAGCACTGCAGGGTCCTTTGTGTGTTAGCTGCAGCTCCTTTGATACCAAATTTGCTTTTTGCTCACTATGCTTTATCTACCTTATATACTTATCTGGCTCCGTCACCATAGAATCTGAGTGCCTCACACTCTTTAATGTATTTATCCTCACAACACCCCCGTGAGGTAGGAAGTGCTGTTATCCTCATTCTACATGTACAGAAGGGAGGCAGAGAGACTGGCACTTGCCAAGGTTACCCAGTTAGCCTTTGGTGGAGGTAGGAATTGGTGGGATCTCCCAAGAGCTTGGCTACTGCTCTAACCATTGTACCTCCCCATTATAGATGAGTGTGTCAGCTTCAAGAGCTCTGTCCCTGTAGCTATGGCTGTTATTGCTCTGGGTTCTGGGATCGTTCACCCCATGTGCCAGGACCAGGCCTGCTTTTGATAGTTCCTCTGTTTTGACTCAATGTGCAAAGAAAGAGCCTTCCCAGGGCTCTGATCCAAAGCTATGGAGCTCTCTCCCTCAGCTAAGAACCACCTCCAGCCCCTCCACTTTCTGTCCCAAGAGCACTTTTCCAACCTGCTTTTACTAATAAAACCCTGTAGTGCATAATACATTAATTAAAGTTACCTTAAAAAATCCACACGCAGTCCAAGCGCAGGGGGTGGGGAGAGAAGAGGAGAAAGATGGGCCATGGAAGGGTCAGGAGGACTAGGACCCCAGTCTACTGGGCTCCAGCTGCCGAATACTTCCATGCTGCCACCTGGCAGCCACAGGAGAGCTGCACTCCATGCACTATAAATCCCAGGGCACTGGGCACCACAGGAAGTGCCACCCACACATGCCCCTATTGGCAATAACCCCCATGACATCTGATTGGTCCAGGTGTAATATTCATGCATGGAGGGACTTCCAGGACGCTATCTGTGTAACCTGGCAGTATCTTGGCTGTTGCTACAACAGCGCCTGTGCTTGTTCCCTGCTTTGGACTCCGGCTCTGTTCCTTGGCTCTGATCCTTGGCTTGACCCCTCAGTCCCTGACTCTGGCTCTGATGCCTGGCCCCAACTCCTGCTCCAATCACCAGGCCCTACTCTTGCTCTGACCACTAGGCCTGACTCCTGGTCCTACCTGTGAGGCCAGACCGCTCACGTCCTGGTTGAGACAGGTTACCTGTCCTACTGCACCGCTGGAAGGCAATCAGATACCATGGTGATGGGTCTGGTATAGGAGCCTGACTAGGCTAGGGAAGCTATTCAATGGTTCTGTGGTGTTTCTGAGCCCTGTATGGGTGTGCCCACCTCTTTCCCTAGGCTTCAGAGCCCGAGTTCCAGCCTGAAGCCACAATTTCAAAGCACCGTCTACACGGCTATTTTCAGAGCGCTAGTGTGAGCCGTGCTAGCCCAAATCTGGTGACCCGGGCTGGGAGGCTCACTTCTGCAGGCTGTGTAGACATATCCTCCATGCCTGCTGCCATGCCTCACCTGGGAAGGAGAAGACAGCCTGCTTCTTTGTCAGGGGAGCACAAATTTACTCACTTCCAGCAAAAAACAATGTCCTGTTTCTTTACGTCCACTTCCTCAACACTGACCCATGTCCTGCTGTCCCCTTCACCAGCCCCCTCCATTCTAGCTGGCTCTTTAGTTGAGAGCTTTATTCCTGCTCCCAGTGGGCAATGAAGTACCCCATAATGCCACTGGGCTGTTCTTTCCTGAAGGAGCAATGCCTCACTGAAGCCACTGGAGGTGGGAAGGGCAGTGTGTGTTGGCAGCATGTAGCTGGGCATCTAAGAGGTGTAGCACAAAAGTCACAGCTGAGGGAGAGGGGGCTATGGAGGCTTTAAGCCACCTTTGTGCCCTCCCAAATCTGGGCTTTTCTGCGGGAGCTGCAGTGGTCCCTGGCATAACATAGCTCTGGGGGCCTGTGCAACTTACCACAGCATCTCAGACCAGGGCCACCCCACAGGTGGCAGCATTGCCCAAAATCTCTGCACCGCTAGGTGCTGTGGGCCAGCCCTGCCCACACATGTTCCTTCCATGCCCAGCCATGCCCTGTGTGCAGGGCTTGTGAGGGGGTTCTTGGAGGACAGCCTGCAGCCATCTTCTGCAGTGTTTGTCCTAAAGAATTCTTTCCTGGCTGGATTTGGAGCTTGTAAAGCCCCTTTATGCTGCTCCAACTCCTTTCTTTGATATAAAGGTACTGGAGGGAGGCTGGGAATCTCATCCAAAATGTTTAAAGTCCATTTAGTTGAGTAGCCTAACTCATAAGTGCAACCTCTCAGGGTGATTAGGTGGGCAATGTCTGAGCCACTCTCTTGTGTGCTCCCCCTCAATGTAGCTTCAGGGCCTCATTCATGGGTTCTCACTCTCGGTCCTATCCCCCTCCCCACAATGTTTTGAATGTGGTTGCATCTATGGCCTAATAATTTTATTATCCTTCCCCTCTTTATTTCTTCCAGAACTGTAAAATCATTTCAACATGGTGTTGAGAGCATGACAGCACCCTGCAGATAAATCAGAACAGCGTGGCTGTCCTGTAAAATACCAGAGAGAGAGAGAGAGAGAGAGAGAGAGTAGTTGTTGTGGGCGTGAGTATTAGCATATACAAGCTCATAGG